AAAAAACAAGGAAACGAAACGAAAGAAGTAAATCGGTTCCGTTTTTCTCTCGATCGGATTCCCCGGAGACAATTCGAAGAATCCATCGAGATACCAGCGGAACTTTGTCTGAGAAGCACGAGAAAGCGTGGACGAGAAACTGAGTGACTGGTTGGCTGGCTGGCTGGCTGGTTGGCTGGTTGGTTGGCTGGTTGGCTGGCTGGCTGAAGATCTCCTCGACGAAGTTCTTCGCTGCTGAAGTTTCGCTCACGATCGATCGCGGATTTTGGAAGCCTCTTATCGCTAACCAAGACACCGTGTCATACTGCGAGGCGGTATTTTCTTGACTCGAAATTTCGTGCTACGAAAACTTCGAATTGTCGTTCCGTGCAACGTAATCGGTCGCAATTAGTCGATTCTCGGGATAATTTAGCCTTACGGATTGTGAAATGCGAGACTCGAAGGTGTCGATTCGAGGTGTCGGACGTTAGATGTTGGAAAGATTCGAAAATGGAACGAGGAGGGACTTGGAAATGAGTTGATTATAATAGTGCGCAATAATAATACTAAGGATAAGAATAATAATAAAAAAAGATGATTAGCTGTCGTATTGAAATTATAATATTAATAATAAAGCCTCCTTCGTCGTCGTCACATTAATAATAGTTAAACGTAAAACAATAATAAAAGTTCAGTTTACAACGATACCATTCTTTAAGAATCTTGGATTCGGTTCGATCAGATTTCCTCTTTCTCCTCTTCTTTTTCTGTGTAACCAAAAAGGGAGAGCTTGTTGTATATGTACATATGTAGAAGGAAAGGAAGGGTCAAAGATAATTAAAAAAAAAAAAAAGAACAGAAAAAGAAAAGAAGGGAGAGGAACTAGAGTTGCCAGACAACGACCAATCTACAAGTTTCTTCTCTTCTCACCCTCGCATACGAACACACAAGTTACTCTGAGTAACATCGGGGGTTCTTCTCTCCACATTCACAACACTCTAGTCTCCATTTTAATCGTTATTTCGTGTCATTTACACCGATACATTGATTTATTGACACGCTCTGTGTTCAATTTCATTGAAACTTCTTTTTACATATTGTTTGTGCGCGTTCTCTCTTCCATTCACACAAGTCTTTTCGTTCTTTTTCTTTTTTCCTCTCCCCCGTATCCACCGTATGTTCGTTTGCGTCGTGTATTCGTTCTTTTCGTCAATTACGCCTCGCCTCTATCATCAAACGAAATGTACATTGAACGATCACGATGGAAAATGATAGGAGTAGATACCAACAAAATTATTACATACATGGACGTCGAACGAGACGTCGTTGGCGAGAAAAAAAGGAAAAGAAATATTGCTAACGTGGAAAATATAATACAGGTGTTTTATTCTTATCTTTTTTTTTATTTTGTTTTTGAACAAATCTATATATAATGTTATGTATAATATATATGTAATATATATGTATATAATGTTATGTATAATATATATATACATATACATATATATACACATATATATATATATATATATATATATATATCGTATAAATATTTATATATGTACAGATATGCGAAGTGGCTGCATCTTCTACTATCGTATGATCCTTCTCCTCTATAGTTCCGTTCTTGCAATTTTTCTATCCTTCTTCCCTAACACTTTTCCGACTTATCCATTCTCTTTTCTACATAATGCGATTAAACACCGTGAATATTTTTTTAGAAGAACTATCGATTTGTCAAATTGGTATGGTTAGAATTGCCGATTCGTCGATCAATGGTTTGCAAAATTACAAAATCATTTCCTCGCGATTACAAATTTCGAGCCATTCGTATTTTGTCTCGTTAATTTGAATACGTCGAGAAACAATAATTTTGAAGTTCCTATTTTGAAAACATCGATCGTTCGAAGTCGACGATTCTTTCCGTGACTAGCTGCACTAAAACTTCTTGCTCTGGCAAAACGTAAATAGAAAAAGGAAAAAAAAAAGAACTGCGGTAATTAACAGCGGTACAAAGTATTTCAGGTGTAATCGAAGTTGCGTAGAAAAGACAATGATAACTCGGGAGAAGGAACAGGATAGATTGTAAGAACGGAACTGGAAAGAAAGAGGATGAAGGATGGTAGATAGGAGAAGATAATACGAAGTGTACAGCCACGCGAGGTGCGAGGAAAATGGCACGAACGAGGGCCGCAATAGCGCAGATTCGTCGCAAGTTTAGGAGCGGAAATAGCTGTGGGCACCACTCGCGGAGAACACGAAGAGTTTCCAAACGGTAGACATTTTCTTCGAACAAAAATCGCGATAAACGCAAGCACATAATTATCGCGTTTTTTAAGTCCTGTCCGTTCTACGCATCCGGTCGTCTCCTCGATCCTTTTGGCTGCATCTTGCAGGCAAAATAGCGACGAATTCTTGACGTGTTAGGTCGCGCATCTTATCCGAGGCAAAGGGGTTTTTATTTTAATGTTCTTTTTCCCCTTTATTACACTTTTTGTGAATTTTTTTTTAGATCTTTTCTCTGCCTCCACTGTCTCGCTCGTCCCTCGTTTAATTATCATGTCCATCATTTCCTCTCTGGCACTCTCTTTTGCTCCATCACTGGAGTGTCCACGGACGGGCGTCTCTTCTTTTAGAGTTTGTCACTCTAAGCTATCCTACGAGGTTATTGGTTTTACGTTAGCTATCGGGGCCAATTTTGTTTTTTGCCATTTTCTTTTTATTCTCATTTCCGAGTCACAGGGTGAGTCAGAAGAAATTCTCGCGCGTTCCCTCGTATACCTCCGAGGCGGCCAGAAGCGAAACTCGGGCGAAGGTTTTAACGAAAATTTTCGAAACGGAATGATTCACGGGCAAATGAAAATAAACTCGAACAGAATGGAAACCGAGGAACGATAAAGACTGACGATCGGTGTCTCGACGATCGAGAACTAAGAGGAGGGGAAAAAAAAAAAAAAAGGAAGAACGGCCCGACGAGGTATTTTCTCTTGACTCAACCCGCGAAACGCTCGACGCGTTTGACCTCAACATTTATCTCAGCGTTGATCGACATAGACGGGAAATAAATCTTGAGTGTAAAACCGCTCGAAATTCCCTACGTTCTGGACCCTAGAGCAGATGATCGCGACACGCGTCGAAACGAAACACAAAGTGAACGATAAAGGAAATAAAAAAAAAAAAAGAAAAAAAGAAGAAATGTGAACGCGATACCGAGGGAACGAAGAATAGAAAAAATTTGATCGATTGAACTCTGTTTTGCGAAGTAAGAAAGAAAGTTTTGCATTAACGAGGAAAGGTTGTTCCCAGCTGGGAAATTCGTAAAAATTACGAAACTTTGGATAGATGCGTGAAAGTATATATCGAGCAATTCCTTTCCCATGGAAATTCAATTTCTGGGGGTAAAATTGACCATTTGTTTATTTTTTATTTTACTTGATTGCAACTTGCAGATTGTAGGAGATGAATGAAAAGGTTTGAAGGTTGCTTCTTCAAATTCGATTTATTATACGATTCATTGATTATTTACATAATTGAAAAGAAGTTATAAAGAAAAGTTGCGAATAGTTGATAAATCTTTCATTTCTCCTTCAGTAGCCAATCTTATGCCCTACATATATACACACGTTTACAAGCTCTGCACGTTTCCAAAGTTTCATAATTTTCCGAGTTTCCTCGCAAGAAAAAGAGTGAAAGGAAAGGTACGAGGAGGAGACAAAGCTACAAACAAATATCGCTTTGAATCGTGCTCTTACCACGTCGAATCAGTGTCTCTGTTTACCCACCGCGTTGCTGCTATACTTTCACAACGTAAATCTCATCCGAATATCATCAATTTTCGCGAATTGATCTATGAGATCGAATAAACGCGTCGCAGTGTCTCTAGGTGTTCTATCTTGGATCATTCTTCCAAACGACTCGAGGCAAGAACAGACGAGGAGGACCGACAACGCCCTTTCTATTTTATCAAAAATATGTATCGAATCCCTGGTCGGCGAGAAACAGAAGAAGAAGAAGAAGAAGAAGAAGAAGAAGAAGAAGAAGAAGATGAAGAATGCTATACGATCATTCGAAGATTTCATTGGACGAAACTCGTAGTAGAACAATGACGATCTCTTTGGCTATTAACTAGATCATGCTTAGTTCACACTCGAATGGATTGCTCGGTGGAGGGTGGCTCGCGTTTATCTTGTTACGTAAAAATCTCGTTGTTACTGGCCATTACCTCGAACTACAGCGGTGGGAGAATTAGGGTTTCTGATGCCGGTGCTAATTGTTACGTACTGAGGATTGATCATTAGGGTCCAGAAGTGGAAATGTCGTGGCGAATGCGATGTTAGTATGCGAAATGCAGGGCGTAAGATTTGTGATTGGGAAGCGTGAATGAATTTACCTTGTCAAGGGGTTGCTACGCGACGCGAGAGATTCGTGCTCGAATCGCCTCTCTAAACACGTTCGAAATATTTTCTGCGATTTAATAAATATTTATAACTTGTATTATAAATGTTAATTAAATGACAATTATAGATTAGATGTTAATTTCAGAAATTTCTGAAAAATTCTCTGATTATCAAACAATTTCAATTTGGAATTTCGAACATGTGATCGAGCTACATCGCCAACGAGAAGGATAAACCATGATTCTCGACAGCCAACTACAATGCAACTACAGTCGTCGTAAAAAAAAAAAAGAAAAAAAATCAGGTGGCTCGAGGACGGATGTCTTTAAAATAAATCTCAGTTCAATTCTAAACACTCGATCAAGGTTTATCCAGGGGATTTGGGAACGACCGAGTCTCTCTCGATGGAAAAATATTCCAAAGCTACTTATATATATATATATATATATATATATATATATATATATATATATATATATATATTTTTTTTCTACGTTCAAAAATATAATATATATATATTTCTACGTTCAAAAGCTTCTCCATCGAGCGAGACACGTCGATCGAACGCTTGGATCTACGCCCACAAGCGAAAACAGAATAGTAAGGAAAGATAGTTGCGCTTACATATGAGTTAAGGGTGGAATGGCGGAATGGTGCTGCACGAGAGGATCCGGCGAAGGTCCAGGCGAGTAGACTCCGGCGCCATGCTGTACCACTCCTTGCTCCACGCCTTGCGGCAGATACATGGAGATCATCTGTCTCAGGTCACCCTGGGTTTGTTGCGTCTGCTGTTGCGTTATGTACTCTCGTTTTACAACTTGGCCGGCAGCCGCGCCCGTTGGTGTTGGTCCCGTTGGCGTTGGCGTGTGAATCCCGCCGCTTGCCGGACTCGTTGGTTCGGACTTTATACTGCTGCCGCTCGGACTGTGGCTCGATATTTGGGATCCGGGCTGTGCTTGGTGATACGGCGAGGGTGATCCACCGGGCACGGTGTTACTGTAGCCACCGTAACCGTTTATGTAAGTGTTTATTGGACCCGGGCTACCGCCACTCATGTGATGACCCATATCGTACCTCGGATAGCCAGCAGCTGAGGCGGCGGCCGCCGCCGCCGCGCCGCCCATGTGCCCACCGTACGCAACGTGTTGCTGATACGCGGCCGCGGGGTCGTGCATCATGTAGCCGTTGGGCATGTAACCGTTCGGCATTTGGTAAACGTCTCGCGACAGTTGCGCCTGTTGCGGCCCGCTTGTACCGCCGACCTGCCTTTGATCAACGCCCAGCATCCCGCCGACTCCGGTCACTCCGCCACCCAGCGGGAACTTGTCCTTCTTCAGCAGCGTTTTTGTCTTGCGTCGTGGCCTGTATTTGTAGTCCGGGTGCTCCTTCATGTGAACGGCGCGTAGTCGTTTCGCTTCGTCGATGAACGGACGTTTCTCCGTTTCACTCAGCAGTTTCCACTCGGCTCCTAATCGTTTCGAGATCTCGGAGTTGTGCATTTTCGGGTTCTCTTGCGCCATCTTGCGCCGCTGGCCGCGGGACCACACCATAAACGCGTTCATCGGCCTCTTCACGCGATCGATATTGTTGTTTTTGCTGGTATTGTTGTTGTTGTTAGGCTGCTGATGATGCTGCGGCGGCTGCGGTTGCTGCTGTTGCTGTTGGTGCGAATGATGCTGCTGTTGCTGTTGGCCCGCGTTCTGCTGCGCCAGCGAGTGCATGCTCTGTTGTTGTTGCTGTTGTTGCTGTTGCTGTTGCGCGGCTTGCATCGAAGCGTAATGGTGTTGCTGCTGATGGTGATGCTGCAAGCCGAGGCCGAGGCCACCCGTGCTGGGAGGGCTTCCGGACAGGGAGGGACTATGCACGATGGAGCTGAGGGTACCATACGGTGACACTCCTGTGTGATGCGCCATGGGCGAGACGCCTTGATGAGGATGAGGTGGCATTTGCCCGTGCAGGCTGCCACCCTTCAGGTCCGTCTCCATCGTGAGCATGTCGTCTGCTCTTTGCCCGTACAGTTTGTCGAATTTTTGAAAAGTCTTTGTACTGGAAAAAGCTCGACGAAACGCCGAGGTGGGGTTCTCGCGCGACGAAGCGGTTCAATTGCCGTGCCGAGTGCGGTTCCTCGCCACCGATCCCCGTGTGTGTCCACTGGTGGTGACCGAACCAGGCAAGCACTACGCGGCAAACGGACTAGACCTTCTCTCCCCTCGACAGTGTGACATGGAAGCTCTTCTTCGCTCCGCTCTCCGATCAGGTCATACGATCGGTCGTTTCTTCCTTTCTACTCCTTTCGATTATCGTGCCACTTGTTGAAATTTACGAGTGGCAACACAGCTAGTCACTGTCGACATTCGTCGCACTTTCTTAGTCTTCACTATGTACAAAAGTCCGTTCGTTAAAAATCAGCTCTGTCGCGTTTGCCGATAAACAACCGATCTATATCATCGGTTGGGTGTAAATCCTTGGTTCGATCACTTCGGAACAATGCACAAACGACGTTAAGGGTTAATGGATCGAACGTACGATCATCGCGCACCGTCGTGTTCGCCGCAAAATCACGATCGTTCCTCGAAGTGCGAAGAATCTGTCTCTCCCCAGATGGATCTTTTGTTTTGTAATCACTAAAAGTCACCGTGGCTGCTCTGGTAACTGCTGTGTTACCGTGTACACTCAACAGTCTTCATATCAATAAACGTTGCCTGTCTTTCGGCAAACGTTGTCTGCTCTTCTTGCGTTCCGATTCTCCGTTTCGGCAAGCTACGCTTGAACGCAAACGGAACGAGTACGTCGTCCACGCCAGAGTCCGACCGAGAAACTGACGCACTGTCACTTTCTTCCCCTAGCACGCTGCTGCGTGTCTCCTTTGTCTGTCTTCGTCGCTCGTTCCCTTTTCCCCGTTTTCTCCGTCGTGCACGCCAGACTCGCTCGTGACTGGCTGCAGGCTGGCGATAAGCTCGACGAATCGGATCGCGACGATACACTGGCTAGGTATTCTGGCCGGATTCGTGTCCTTTCTCGCTCTCGATCTTTCACTCGATCACTCGGCTCTTCGGCGATGAATCTTCGACAATATTTTCGGAGCACTTGATATACTCGGCCGAACACGCGAACAACCCGCGATATTCCAACGAATTTGGCAACGAATGTTCACTGCTCGAACGAGCTCGGCACACAGTCACTGTGGTTCTCGTCACACCGAGACGTCCGATAACAACGACGTCCGACGATGACTACGACTCCTACACGTCCCACTTGAAATGGGTGCACGCGGCCGCTGCAACTCCGTGTGTACCCGCTGCGCACGTTTCTTTCATCCACTGTTGTTGTATCACGATAATACCGACGTTGCGAACGCGGTGGAAAGTGTCCAAGAGAGGAACAAGGAACAAGTGTCGGCAGCTACCACTCTCAACGACAGAACGCAACCGTCTGAGCATTTGTGGATTTTGCCTTGGGGTCCCACTCTCGGGGCTCACTTCCTGCCGAGGCGGCTGCCCCCCTCTCTCTGTTTCGCTCGCTCTGCACACGCCGCCCCTCTTCAACGGCTACCCTACCTGCCTTGCCATCCAGCAACCATACCCAACGGACCGTCCGACCAGACCCGAGCCTACCAACAGCAATCGATTGGCACACAAGCCTGCCATCATTCCTCTCCACCAATCGCGCGGCTCCCTTCGACGCCGAAGGCGGCGCCATTACGCCGTGACGTCACGTTAGCAACCCCGACGACCTCTCGCGGCATCGCTTTCATCCCCCTCGGCCCCCCCCCCCACCCCTCCAAACTCACCCCCTTCGCGACATCTCTCTTTCACCAGCACGTTTTGCCATCTCGGTTTCTCCCTTTACGCCCCCCCTCTCTCTTTCTCTCTTTCTCACCCCTTCTCGCGTCCCCCCCTCCCCTCTGCCCCACTTCCCCCCTTCTCGCTCTTTCTGCCTTCTCCCTTTGCCAACTTCACGAGCGTTTCTCTCTCGCCAGCGATCTTTGTCTCTCTCTGTCCTCTGCCCTCCGCTCTTCGGGTCGCCAGTGTTTCGTCCACGCGTTCTTCTGCCCGGCACTATCACCCCCTTTTCCACCCCCGCGCAAACACACACGGGGAAGCTCCGTCGACGCTGGACTCTGGCTCCTCCGCGAATTTCCTCCCTTTCCGTAGTCGCCTCGTGTCGTTTTCCTACGTTCCACGCGCGCCAACGTCTCCCCTTTCTCGCCCCCTCGGCCGCGCGCACACCACTCTTTCCCCTAGATTTCGTTCCTTCGACCGATCTACGACGCGCCGAATCGGTGTCGCGCGATTTCTCCCCGTGACCTTCGGATCTCGTCCGAACCAACGTGTCGCTGCCTCGAGATTTTTTGATCGAAGGTCTCTCTCGCCTCCGTTGGTAGTTTTGGGGTTGAAACAAAAGGATTTGATCGTTCTGTTATCAGAGTTGTATTCAGTTAGCTGAAAATCTTTTCCATCGGAAGTTTAAGGGTTGAAAGTATTTAGGAAGAAAGGTATTCGTTTCGCGTACGAAATTCCTGGCTATGTTAACATATTTAGAAGTCGAGAGCCTTCCCCTTTGTCAACTGAAGGGTTGAACATTTTTCGGAGCAGAGAAACTTGTTTCACGTACAAAAATATTTTACCGCCTCCTTAGTTTGGGGTTTAGTCAGTAGAGAAAGAAGGATTTATATTTGTCTTATAATCAACGTGAATCATGATGGAGAAACAAATGGCGTTTCAGGCGTTTTAGAAACGGATTCAGGAATGTTTATCGAGGCAATAACGCATCATTTAACGTCGGACTGCCGAGTACACGTGCAAGTGCATTCTAACTGCGAAGGCTGTCGTATCTTATCGATCGTTTGCCTCGTATCGCGGTTTCTTTCTGGTCAGCGATTTTTTAGCATGAAGCTACCAGTCTTTGTTGGAGTCGTTTTTATTCCGACGCGGATCTTCGATTCGGAACGAAACGGCCGAATTTCGGTACGCGTCTGTTTCGAATAATCTGCCATTCAAATATTTTATGGGTACATTATGATTACATCACGGAACACAGAATTTTCAGATTTCGTCAGCATTACAACGAAAGATCATATTGATGGTCTGTGAAACAAATTTGAAAACAGATTAGATATTATCACGCATCAGATACCTCTCAGAGGCCAAACTTTGATTGACTTTATTTTTTTTTCATCAACGATAATTAATAATTAAGTATTCAGTATCTCGAGGAGCAATTCATCAATTAATCTTTAACCTCGATGTTTGTAATGTTATTTTTCACTGCATTTCAATTTATAAAGTTGATTAATACGGCGTCTGAACAACTCAATTGTCTGTCTCTCTATGTTAATAATTATTCTTGGTTGTTCTTAATTATCTCTGGTATTAATTCACGTCGTAGCAAATATTTTCGTGAGCTCAATCGTACACGTACGTTTACGATCGATGTCTAAGAAGTTTTACATGTATTTACGGGCTTCAAATTGTTTTCTACGTAACTACACTGCTTCGCCAACGAAATTTAACGCGAGACAATGATGTACCACGAGTCACGAAAACTACCAAAGGATAAAAAGGATTCCTCGTATCGAGGAAATATATAAAAAATGCAGGGAAAAATGAAGAATTTATTCAAACGTTTTGAAATAAAGATCATTATCTCAAAGTTCATTCAGTCTACAAAATTCCTACGGGGAGTTACGAACTATTGCAGCTATGGCCAGCAGCATTCTCCACGATGTTCGCTGCAGCAAGTAGAATATGTATTTCCTCGTCAACCGCGAGACATCTTAGCTAATTTACCGTTCGCGGACCGATTGGCTGGCGTCGCGCTTCGCCGTATTCAAATCACTCATTATATCCGGTCGACTTGACCCATTTTCTTCTTGTCTCTCTCTCTCCTCCTGCTATTTTCTTCTTTCTTTCTTTCTTTCATTCTCCTTTCTCCATTCAGCTCGCCGCGGTGTGTTCCTTCGGCTCTCTCTCTCTCTCTCTCTCTCTCTCTCTCTCTCGCTCTCTCTTCTCCTCTCCTCTCCTCTTCGTCTCCTCTTCTCTCGTTCGCGAAATCCACAAAGAGGCTCACGAGCCATTCCTGAAAGAACCACCATCGGCCGATGCGACTCCGTTTAAGCGCGACTCATGCGTAGGACCTGTTGCCGCGGCTCGCCCAGAGTCTGTTGCCCGGACAAAGACAGCGCGAATCGACGAGCGGAGGGAAAGCCAGAGAAAGAGCGGAACGCACGATGGAAGAATGCGTCATAGATAATTGTGGCGCAACTCCACCTCCTCCCCTCGGCCCGTGCCTCGTGTGTGTCAGCGACAATGAAAGTAACGGCAGCCGGATCAAGTCCCATTCGAATCGTTCAGCGTCGTTCAATTTCGACGAATGCCCTGCCTCCCCATTCGTCCATCTATCTCTCGTTTCTCTTTGTCTTCTTCATCGATCCTTTCCTTCAACGTTGGTTAGAAGTTGGTTCTTCCCCTCGACAAGCGCTGAAATCTTCTGCGTTGGTGGAATTTCTACTTACACTCGCGCTTTGTTTCTGAACGATCGGGCGACGGTTTTTATTAATTTATTTAATCGCCGTTTAATCGACCTTTGCGCTCTGGTTATTTTGTTCGTTTCGACAGGGATTTTCGACAAGTTTTAGAATTTTCATTTTCTTCCTTTCGAAGCAGATTTTTTTATTAGATTTATTTCTTTTTCCCTTAGTCTCTGCCTTTCTCTCTGTCTTACTCCTTCCGATCAGTTCTGGATCTTTGCTGAAATCCCTTTTCCACGCGGTAGAGTATTCACAATAATTTTCTTTCTCCCTTTCCCCCTTCATTGAACATTACGTCGTTTCATGCGTTTTCTTAATTCGTCGCGACTTCTCGAACAAACGACTGTTTCAATTGTAATTAATCATTGTATTATTGCGGTCTGGTGGAGATCACGGAGTTGGCGGTTATCTTATTGGCGTCACATCTTATTTTCCGAATATCCGAGCAATACAAATCAACGTTTCTCCATCAAATCTCTTTCATATTAAAATATCGGAATGCATAATTTTCACGTATATTGTTATTTATGCCCGTGAATAAGTTGCGACGTGCAAGTCGTGAATAGATCGATGGAACGAAAATAATGAATAAAGATAGCCCGCGCTTTTTCTGCGGGAAAATTGAAAAAAATTGGCCGCGCTTAAAGAATTAACGCACACGTCTCTAAATCTCGCGCGGGTTTCGCAATTATCTCAGGATAATCTTTCTTGACACTAATTTCATCCAACGTTTAATCGCTGAAATTCTTTTTACTCTCGAGACAACTATGGAAAAATTGCTTCGCTGACTAACCGTTCGGAAATTCTTCGTTAGATATCTTGTTGACGTTACTTGGAGATTGTTGAAAGTTAGTCAGATATGACCAAACAAGCGGCAAAGAGAACACGCTCCGAGGAACTTTCGTAATTTTTCAACCTTCCTCGACATTTCGAATTTCGGTATTCCGCGCGACACGTCGACACGTTATTGCTACACCTTGCGAACACGCGCGCCAACTTGCTCCAATTATAGCTAAATCCTATAGCATAAATTTCGTAATTTCCATACGTGGTTTCGCAATGAGGGGGGAGGGGAGGGGGAAGAGTTGGATTTCAGAAGTTGTTGCAATTATGCACGATCGAGGGATCGACGGCTGGCTCGATAAGCCGGCAAGGTCGTTTCGATAAGATTAACTGGCGGAGATTAAGCGAAGTGCAAGGTTCCGCCAATCGATCGATCGATCGATCTTTCTAATCGGCCGCGCTCGTTATCTACGCGTTCGAGGTGAGATTCTTTCGTCTCTGTCTCGCGGATGACGAACCTCAGCGACGAACGGTGGAAAGCTCGTAGATAGACAGAACCGAGACTACATCAAAACGAAAAAAGTAATCAGACGAGCATTGTAACGGCTGGCAATTGTAACGACAATAAAACTGGACACGACGCGTTTCCGGTAAATGTCCGTTGCAATGCCCAAATTACTAAGTAAACCAGCAATAAAATTAAAAATTTCTTAAGACTCGATTTGCTTTATCTGTTTATAACATCTGTTTGCAATTTACAGTGAAATATTGGAGGGTTCTCTTTTATGACTTACGTTTCGACGGACTTGTAAATTACCGACTTACTGACCAAACATCGAAATTAGCGAACTTGTCAAACGTCAAGTTCTGTCGACAGGTCAAATATTGTTAGAGTTTACTGTTTCTTCGGGCTGCTTATTCGAGTAGCATTAGGGAAGCACAGTAGAGAAATAAAATGGATTTTGCAGTTAAAGGCTAATATGTGGTACTTATGCTTGGTGCAGCATTAAATAATAATTTTCTGTGAAACCTTTTCCACTAATGACGGTTCAGAATCCCTGTGTTCCCATTTTTCTTCGAGGTCCAGGTTCATTTATGACTTTTCGAATTGTTCTATATAAAATATGACTTCTTTTAGCACAAACCAGACATAAAAATGTTCGTTAAATAACGAAAGCTCCATAATCTCTTCTCCCTTCATTTAGATTTTACGATTCTACGAAATTTAAAGAAACGTAATGTATTCATGACACTACGATATACGTCCGTTGCTCGATGTATTAATGGATTTCAAAGCGACAATGCCAAGTGAAAGAAAACATCGGCTCGCACGTGAAACTGTTATCAAGCCAG